TAAGGTACGTTTTTTTTTAAGTAAAAAAGAAAGAAAAAAGAAAAGGTAGTCAAAAGTGAGAGGAATGGGGTAGAGTCATGTCCAAATTTATTTTTATTACCACGCTCCTTCTGGAGAAGGCCTCATCTGCTCTCTGTGTTTAGGAGAAGGCCCTGGAGCGGAGGGAGATGGTGCGAGTGGGAAATGAACTGCTCACTCATGCTTCATGGTCTACTACTTGGGGAGAGCTTCAGACCTCTCATAGGTTTGAGTGGCGGGCTCTTAAAAGTCAATTCTGCCTCTGTCATTAGATGACCTGATCATTCATTCATTCATGCATTCATTGAATGTTTTAGGAACACTAGACACTGGAGAATACAAAGATGAAGATTAAATGATCCTTTCCCTCAAGGACTTTACCATCGATTGGGGCAATATGACGTACACAAGTAACTCTGCTACAAGACACACAGGTATCAGCAGCTAAGACAGGGAACCTCAGGGAGCTGCTTGATGGAAGCAGCAGCTCAGATAATCCCATGAGTGCACCAGGGCCTCAGGGACTATGGAATGAAAGACAGGAGAAGCCTTTTTGAGGTTCCCCCAATCACCACGTGGAGTAAGCGCAAGTAGGCTAGCAGGAGTCGATTACTTATGAAGGATGATAAAATAGTCTTTGGATATTCTATCTGCACATATCTCCCACAGAACTTTAACTATATGCTATTTGTAGGCAAATAGATCTGCCTTGGTAGCAGTATGGATGGGATCATCCTTAAAAACAAGGATGGGGAGACTTCATCCACATACTTGGCCATGTTATTAGGAGAGTCCAGTCCCTGGAGAAGGACAGCATGCTTGGTAAAGCAGAAGGTCACGGACAAAGAGGAAAGTCTGCAACAAGATGGACCGGCACAGTGGCTGCAACAATGGGCTCAAACATAGAACAAATTACGAGGGTGGCCCAGGACTGGGCAGTGTTTCCTTCTGTTGTACAGAGTGTAACTGTGGGTCACAACTGACTCAGTGTCACCCAACACAAACAGCAGCATTAGCATGCTCATTTTACAGATGAAAAGACTGAGCTCACCAGAGATCAAGAAAGGACCAAGTGGACTCAGCTAGGAGTGGCAAAGAATTCAGTTCAACCGCAGCCCCTGCTCTTCGCCACTCTGCAGTGCTGCTTTACGCGTGAGCATAAAACCATGCCTTCCAGAGATCCAGTTCCAGAAGGAATGGTTTTATTGGTGGGGCACATCCAGGCGTTTGATTCTACCAAATTCCCCAAGCAGACGCTCTCTAACAATCTGCACCCAGGTACCGAACATCTTGATCAAGGAATCTATGGCCATTTTGACGGCTCATCAGAAAGGGAAAAGTGTGGGACAGAATATAACGCTCTCATGCACACTCAGTTCTTTTGCCGCCATAGAGGTTGAATGCACCTTGACACTATTGCCCTGAGAGTGTCTTTAAACCTTAACCCCCAAATATTCCCTGAAATCTTCTTAAAACCAACCACAAGTTTAGCATAACTAGTAAAGAGTGTCTGCCCTGCACATTATGCCCTCATGAAAACTTAGGAAGGCGCTTCAGGACAGTTCATGGAAAACTTCCTTTATCTTTCATTCTGTTTCCCCATGAACTTTTTGAAGTATCCTTGTATCTGTGTGTGATCAACTTGGCAATAGCAACTCAAAAAACTCAAGGGCAGGGAGGGGATGTTCACAGCGGGGGAACAACTGGAAAAAGGATGAGAATGGTTACACAACCCAAAGACTGTCACCACCGTCCCTGAATTGTACATGCAGAAACTGTTGAATTCGTTTCTGTTTTTCTGACTATTTTCTCAATACAGCAACAAAACACCAATTTTAAATGAAAAAATATGTTGAAAATGTGAAGGCTGCCTGAACAAAGCTGGGAGAAGGAGGTTATGCTTGGTTAGCTACTGCTGATCATGTCTCAGGGCCTATAGAAGTCCACATAATCTTCCTAGGACAGTGTTATCTGAGGTGGCGTGTGGGAAAGTGACACACACTTCCCACACCGAGTCGGGAGGCGGCTGCCTGGCTGACAGCCGGTGCGGAATTCATGGAACTTGGATGGCCTTCAGAACGTGTACCCTGTGAAGCAGGTCAGCTTATCTTACTACATTTATTTTTACTCCCGAGAATTTACCATGATGGAAACTCGGTCAGCTGTGGTGGTCTGAGTGCACAGCACAAAACCAAGCAATGGAGCCACAGCTCCAGGGAAACAGAGCCTCCGTTTAGCTCATCCTGTGAGGGCTCCCTTGTCGGGGAAGGCAGCACCTGCACAGAGCTAAGAGGGAAGTTTACAGAGACCCTCTGTCTGCTGCACATTCTCTCTAGGGACACATATGGGTTTTGTTTAAGACTCTTAGACCAACTGCATTATTAGGATAGAGGGTATAATGGACCATCTTAGACAATCACACACAACTCCCTCGATGCTCTACCATCAATGTCATAGTCCTGTTCAAGCATGTGGCTGCCTGGACTGTGCCAACATGGCAAGTTCCTCATGGGATAGACACAATGGTCAAGCAAGGAAGGCTAGAGAATCAAAGTACTAGTGGTCTCAATTGACACTTTTATCTGGATTATTGATCCCCTATCACCTGAGCTCTTTATTGTCTGTAAGAGTTTCTGAGCATGGAATGCATGCTAATTTGCCTATCTGACCCCAAACCAAGCCTATCTCTCAACAGTGATTGATACAGAATGGTCACAACATAAAACTTTGTTGGATGGATAAAGGAGTAAATCAATGCATAGCTGCATGCATATATAGGTGAATAATTATATAAATTAAAGAAGAGATGCTTTCCTACCAGAGACATGCACTATATATCATATCTAGTTTTGCCAGACCCACAAGTTCATTTCCAGCAATTAAAAGGAGCAAAGTAAAAGCCAGTTGCTGATGGTGTTACTTCCAGTTTGTGTGTCAGCAAGGTTTTTGTGGTAATTACATAATCTGTTGTCAATTTGAGGCTTAAGAGTGAAGGGGTGGAATTTAGCCTGTCAATCCAATCACAGATCGATGACCTCATTTGGAAGTGCTAAGGAGATAAATCGCTTGTTGGAGGTAGGACACACACTCACTCCCTGCAAGACATTGCTGACCAGAAGCCACATGAAGCTACCCTGATGCAGCCAGCGCCCTGGGAGCTGGAGGAGCCACATGGAGACCCCCGTCAGCATTGAGATGCTTACAACGCCACTGGATCCACAGGACTTCCTACCAACTGGCCTGTGATCTTCCTACATTTGACATCATTGCATGTGTTTCATGAGTCTGAAGAGGACTTTATAGATTGGTATTGGACATATGGGCTAATATCGGACTTAAGGATTGATCTGGGCTAGGTTGGGAAACTGTCTCAATATTCAATTGCTCTTGTATATAAAGCTCTTTCCTATACACATATGAGTGTCTATGAATTTGTTTCTCTAGTCTACCTGGACTAACACAGTTTCTATTACAGGTTATCATGGGGTATTTATTCTTACTTTATTCATCCTATTTCCTGGAACCTCATATTCAAAAACTGTACTGTCATTCCCAAATCCCTCTGTTGTACCACATGGACAACAGTCTATCATACTTGCTCATAAAGAGGAATATAATTGACGGCAGAGCTGGGTAGAAAACATTGAAAACTTGTGGAAAGTCTCATCTGGGCCAGGTAAAAACTGGCTTGTGGAGAACAGCATCCTGATGATCACACAAAGAGTGGCAAGTCTTAAGAGACTGCGGGTAAGGTTTAGGAAAAGGAACCTGGGTGGCAAAACAAAACAAAACAAAGCCAGTTAAGTATTCTCCTGCTAATGGGAAGGCTGGTAGTTCAACCCCATCCAGAAATTCTGTAGGGTCACTGTGAGTCAAAAATTGACCCAACAGCACCTGAAAACAGCAACAATGACAACAGCAGTCAGGGGCAGAATGAGAGAAAGTAATACTGGGGACCGAACTAAGGAAGACAAGATTACCCTGTTCTAAGTCAATACTGTAAGATCAAGGAGAGTCTAGGCTCGCTAAAAAGGTCTGTGAAAATAAGGAGGCCAGCTACCTAGATCAGCAACAACATGAATGTTAAGGGAAATGCATATGACCCCAAAGAGAATCTTTTTTTTTTTTTTTGGAGAACAAGGACTGAGCAACAGAAACAGGTAGAGGGACCTTGGGGATTTCAGTTGGCCCATGAGAACCCTGGAAGAAGTGCATCCATTTTCCAGGACCCAAGGTGGGCACTGGGAATGGGATTCTGAACAAAACACTTCCTAATTGAGCAGATCTTATAGCAGAGTGAGCAGGCAATGGAAAGCTTCCTGGATAAGAAGCCTAAGGCTAAGGTTGTGTTCCCACCTTCCCCCAGGTTACCTGTTATCTGGAAAAATCATTGCACCCATGTGAGCTTCCTGGGCTCGATCTGGGGTGGTGGCTGTTGTTAGGTGCCCTCCAACTCAGAATGGCCCCATGCAGGGGACAGACTTATATTAAATTTCAAGTGCTCATCCTTATGCTGAATTTCTAGGGCTCTGCTCTTGAGCAGAAGAAACATTTATTTGAAATTGAACAATTCATTGTATTTCTCATTAGTTTCTTTTTTATTTTAAAGTTCAAAGAAATGGCAGTCTATTATCTTTTATCTTTATGTGAAATGAATAATACAATCGTGCATTTATATTGAAAGTCCTCTGTCTCTATTTCCATCCATTTATGCATTCTTCCATCTATATATTCATAGAGAAAGATCAAAAACAGTATTCTCCAGGCTTCTTTTGTGTGATAGACTGTGAATTTTAAAAATTTTAATGGTGAGTATGTCATTTTTACAAATAAAAGGAAGTCTATTTTTACATTAAAATACAGTGAAGTATTTTAGGACCAGTGAGAGAGTGGCATGCTTTAGTAATTATGGGAATTTGCGTCGTGGGAAGGGGTCTGTGGGTGTATCGATGTCCTTATGTTACTTGGACTGTTCTCTTTAGGTACCAAACGTGTTCCAACAATGGACTGGTGGCCGGGTTCCAGAGCCGATACTTCGAGTCAGTGCTGGATCGGGAGTGGCAATTTTATTGTTGTCGTTACAGCAAGAGATGCCCGTATTCCTGCTGGTGAGTCTGGGAACCACTCCAAGCCCCATGTGGGCTCTTGGGACAGGAGGAGAGCATGAGAGTTTCCTCACCTTCAGATAGCTCTGAGCTGCCACAAGCAAGCCGGGAACACTAGAGGTAGCATATAGAGGTAGCATATAGAAAAGGGAGAATGATCTGAAAACCAGATGGGTGGATGAATGAAAGGAAAGGCTGGAAGAATGTCCACTTGGGAAGAACCTTAGGGATTCTGTTAGCCAACGTTCCCACACCCATCTTTTGATAGAAGAAGAAACAGTAGAGCAAGGAGAGACTTGGCCTAAAGTCATCCAGCTATTTCATAGGTGTGCCAAGTCTACAGCTGAGGCCTGTGGACTCCTGTTCCAGTGCTCCCTACTCTTTACCATTCTAAGGTCTCATCATAGTATAAGCAAGACTTCTTTGGGAGATACTAACTCTTTCATTGATTCACATCTCAATGATTACATATAATTATAGATAGAAAAAGGACACTGTTTCCTATATCAATTTATCACTCTAGGCTGGTCATTCTTGTTCCTCTCCTAGGGCAGATGACCTACCATTCCCTGACCCAGCGTTCTTCATTGACAACAAGAATGTGCGTAGATTTATTTACCTTGGTAACAGACCCTGGGTATTGTTGACTGCACAACTCCTTTCAAGTGCTTCCATCTGCAAACAAGCCAGGCTTTTCAGTCGGGGAACCATGTTTTCCAAAAGTGTGGACATTTCGTGGTTGGCTCACTCAGCTGATTTATGTCTCTCCAATGCGATGTCTGAAAGAACAGCCTAAGGGTTATGCTTGTTCTCTGCAACCAGTGCTCCTCCCCAGATGCCAACGCGGGGCAGGATGTCTCCAGGCATAAGCAACTTCAAACATGTAGTGTTTTTGTTTGGGGTTTTACTTTTTTTAAAAAAATGACCAATAGTAAACTCAGAGTTGTAAGCCAGTCGATGTCAGCCTCTGTGAGCTGAAGCAGGGGCCTCCTTAAGCTCTCTGAAACTGAGTCCAGAAAGCAGTTCATACTTAGTCACAGCAGCAAGGCAAGTATAGCTCGAGTGTATAATGTATCTACAATTGCGCCTGGACCAGAAAAGACTTAAAACGCTGTCGTGAGAGAGTAAGGGGACAAAGCATGGTGTAGGCACTACAGGACCGTGAGTTCAAGTCTTGGCCCTATTGCCTCTGCCTCCCTCCGCCACTGTGGCATCTTTAGTAGGGTTACGCTGCATCTCAAAGAAAAACATCACCGCTGTCCAGACTTATGACGACCCTGTGTGCCTCAAGATACAAAGGGTTTGGTTTTTAAATGTGATTTTTACAGAGCTATATCCCCAGGACTTTCTTCTGTGGCAGAGTGGGTTACATGTTGGGCTGCTAAACCAAAGGTCCACAGTTCAAAATCACCATCTGCTCCATGGTAAAGATGAGGCTTCCTACTTCCATAAAGAGTTCCAGTCTGGGAACACCACAGGGGCAGTTCTCCCTGTCCTGTAGGGCCACTCTGAGTCACAACTGACAGTGAGTTGAGTTCTTCCATCGAGCCATTGGGTGTCCTGAACTGCCAACCCGGCGGTTAGGTGTCAATCTCAAACTGTTTGTACTACCCACTAACATTGGCTTCTCTAAAGAGCGCCAAGTCTATCACTTAGAATCATGATCATCTTTTTTTCTCTCTGAAGTTTTAAAGAATGTGATGAATGCTATAGAACTTATCTACAGGAGTGAGGGGGAGAACGCACTCAAGCACCTCCACACTGAAGTTTACAGAGAAAGTCCGGAGCTCTCCAACCCACAGAGGAAAGACACGCTGGAAATAGACTGTGCTGTCGTCACAGAACCCTTCTAGAGCCTTTTGATCATAGATCCCAAAAGCCCAGGTCAGACTATCTTGATCCCAAAGATGCTTTTGCACAGGACACTCCAGATGCTCAGGCTGCATGAAGATCCTGATCGGAACTGACTCCAACAAGTGGGTAGGAAGTGCCTGCTGTGGCTTGAGAAGCCTGGCTTCCCTCAGTCTCCTTCATCCGTGTGCTAAGGGAGCAGGAAGTCACAGGGTGAAAGCTGCCTCCATGTGTTGAAAGACCTTCAAAGCCATTTAAAATGTAAATAAATGATCTGAAAGAGTAATCACCATAGCAGTACTCAGTTGATCCATTTACTACACCTTGGGCCCCAAAGGAGAAGACTAGGACTGGGTGCCCTGGGGGCCAAGAGGAGGGTGTACAGGAGCAAGAGAGGGAGCAAAAGAGAAGTCATCCCATTGGGCTGCAGATGACAGGCCATCTAAGGGCAGCTAGATGACTAGACGTGGGTGGTCTGCTTAACTGCCCTTCATATTTGCCTCTGTTATAGTGTGTAATGCTCTGTGTCTGACCTGTGAACAGTGCTCTCTCTCCCTAACCTGCTCTTTGTGCTTGGAACATAGCAAATGCTTCGTAACTATTGAATGAGTGATCGGCTTGATGGTTCTGGAAGAAGCCCAGAAGAAGAGAAGTTGGACCAGAAAATAGAATTCCCCAACGATGTGTGAGAGTCTGAAAATCAGAGACACTTGGTGTGTGTAAATAGAGCAGACTGAAATCGAAGCCTCCACTCCATTTAAAAATCTCGACGTGAGTCTGGAATCCATGTTGAATTTGCAAGCAGCCTTTTCTCACAGCAGTTCCCCTATCCTTTGCTGCTGACCTAACCCTGTCCTCTGGAGGGGCCAGTCTTTTCCCCTGAGATCTGGCAGGCGCAGGACATCACTGTCTGTTTCCAGTGTCTTTTCTTCAGAGAATCTTTCCTCGATGCGCAAACAGACACAGGATCAGGAGCCTATATCTGTAGGGCCTGGAGGCACAGCGTTATTTACAGTGGGGGTTCAGAAACAAACGTGATTGGAGAAGCAATTTTGACAGCAGGTTTCCAGAAAATTCTCCCCTACCATTGTCTTTTGACCGTTCTGGAAGACACTGAACAGCAGGTACCCTTAACCTTGTTTAACCCCACTTACTTTCTCCAACTGTCCCTGTGAGTCCCCACTTTTAAATATCCCAACATTTACTGCTGAATTGTCTTTCAGACAACCATGGTTTTGTCATGTTTAGCTCCTGTTCCAACTGGGAAAAACTGGTTTCTTCCTCTTTGTCTGACCTGGAGGCCACTTGTACTCTGTGAATTTGGGCAAATTCCCCATCTGCTCAATAAATCTGCTCATTTTACTTTTCCTGAGTACCCATTTTCACCCCAGTGCACTCACAAATCTTTCTCTAATCTCTACCCATCATGTCACCTGGGCCCGAGATGTAAGCTCTGTACAAGCAGAGATCTCACCGTCGATGTATCCCAAGCCCCTTAAATAATGCAAGGCACATAGTAGACAGTAACATTTATTGAATGACTCCAGCCTAGTTACACCAGGAGGATTAAGTGTTCTCAGAGTCTATGCCCAGCATGTAAACCTCAGCACACCATGACTATCATCACCCAGAGCTGGCTCACCTCTGGGCAGAGCCCCTTTAGCCTGCCAGCTACAGTAGAGGTGTCTCCTCACCGACTCACCAGCCCTTCCACCAGCCAGGTAACCCAGTTAGGGGTGGAGGATCCTGCAAGAGGCAGTCCTGCCACTAGGGCTAATCACACAGAGGGACAAGAAATGTACCCTCTTGGACATCGTGTCAGGATGTGCACAAACACATTCCTCCTGGGTTGAGGGGGGAAAGATGAGACAGCTGCATCCCCCACTGCTGCGAAGCCCAGGGTCTCTGTCAAGATGAATGGAGAGACCACTTTGTCTACTGGCCACATAGTTCCCAGCTGGAGGCCTGGCTCCTGGCCAATCAGGAGAGCAGCAGGGAGTGTCCTTGGGGTCCAACGCATTTGGTAATAAGACCTGTAAGATCCTGAAGCTCCCTGGCCTTTAGGGAAGCTATCTAACACCAGAGGTAGAGGAGGGATGGAGGTACTGTCATCTGAAGTGCAGGTAGTTTACCCTGAAGCAGGGCAGCCAATTACCCCTGCCAAGTCAGAGGAGGAAAGGGAACTGTTTATTAGCACAGATACACCAGCAAGGAGACCGCAGCAGCGCACAGCAAACTGTCTCTGTGGCGTCCTGTTTGAAATCAGAATCCAGAGAAAGTATCAACCTTTTGACTTTGGAATGTGCACTTTGGGGTGTCAAATATAGTTGTGTTACATTGACTCGGTTCTCAAGGTAACTACAGGGAAACAACTGTTGACCATGAGCAAGTAAACCAATAAGGTTTGTTAAGTCTTAGGCCAGGCTCAGGATGAATCTGTTCACGAGATAGCAGGGCTTAGCTTTCCATCAGTCGCCATCAGGTAAATCAGAGAATACTCTCAGCAGTAGCTGGCCCTTTTAGGTAACGTCCACACCCAACCTGTAAGTAGCAAGTTTGAAAAATTCCATAGAGACTGCATTAAGTAGAGTTAAGGCTAACTGTACAAGGGTTTTTCTAACACATTCATTAAAATAACTTGGACTACAGTAAGGAAGAAATAAAGGAAGAAACATCTACCTCCTAGAGAACCCCCGTGTTTTATGTATTTTTGTGATCTGTGTAACTGACCCTGGGGGCTTGCGCTTCATCTTGTTTGTCTGGATTCTGAAAACTGACAACCCTCAGGTCGCTGCCTCGGGCCTCGAAACCGAACTCGATTCCTAATGACTTCCATTTACCAGTTGTTGGCAATTCTGGGTCCTAGGTTGTGCCTACTTCCTCTCCAGTTGTCTTTGGGGCAACCCACCCCCAAAATGCTAAGAACTTAAAGACCCTGGAACACAGCCCTAAGATTAATGATTGAAAAATAAAGATAGCTTTTTCTTAAAGTGCCCGAGATTTCAGATCTCCAGTGAGCACTGGCAAAATGCACGCCTACCCTTGGTCAGCAATGGCATCCATTGCCCCACCCCCACGGACATCCAGACATGCCACTGAAGGCCAGTAGCGTCAAAGGATTGGGATAAAATAGAGGGATACTCAGAAAGACA